ACATCATTATGCTGAACGAATGTGTTCCATACTCGAGTCATCCTGGGTTATGTATGATCTCAGATGGAGTGATGTTTTGGAGAAGGGTACAGCCAGAGTGAAGTTGCTGCTTTCTGCCCCTCTTGTGGCATAAAAGCTTGTTTCGCGCTGTCCTCGAAGTGGATCCAAGTGTGGTATTTTGACAATATTGGCCTTGTACATAACAGTAAGGCCACCCACATCCCTCCTATGTTGAAGGCTCTGCTGAAATGACAGATCCATCCAGGATGGGTCCAGGCGAGAGATGAGACGTCTTGCTCTGTTCTCTACTCTGTCAAGCAGTCGCAGATGAGAGGGGGGACAGGCAAACCAAGAAAGTGGAGCATACTCAAGGTGTGAGCGTACTTGTGCCTCGTACAGTATCTTGCAACCCCTACTGTCAAGCAGATGCGAGATACGGCGAAGTGCTGTAAGCTACCTGGCTGCCTTGTTTGCAAGATTTACAACATGGTTCTTCATGGTTAGTTTGGAGTCAAATTTCACCCCAAGGATATCAATTTCTTCTCCAGGTGCCAACATCCTCCCATTCATCCTTACTACTGCACCAGCATTACCATCATGGTGCCTAGAGACGATCATCATTTGCGTTTTCTCAGGTGCAAATGTTACTTGCCATCTATTTCCCCCAAGCTGATATAGCTCTCAGCTGGTGATTGATGTAGCTTAGAGCAGCTGGCATTTCTTCTCTTGGATAAGTGAATGTCAGTGTACAGTCGTCTGCATATGCATGTGATTCTGGGATGAGATGAAGAAGGTCGTTGAAGTAGACATTCCATAACAGTGGACCCAGCACACTTCCTTGTGGAACGCTTGCCCCAATAGGATGTCTTGCTGATTCCGTTCCATTGAGGACTACACTTAGAGATCTACCATGAAGGTAATCACTGAGGAGACATAGCGTAGAGCCTGCAATTCCAGTGCTTGAAGTTTTGCTAAGAGGCCCTGGTGCCACACCGTCGAAAGCGCCAGCAATGTCCAGTGCTACCACACAGCTGACTTTGGATTCATCCAGTGACTGGTGCCACTTAGTGGAGAGGTTTAACAACAGATCAGCAGCAGAGTAACCTTTCCTGAAGCCATATTGACGATCACAAAGTAGTGAGTGGTAGTCAAAAAAATCTGTCATTTGTCTTGAGATTATTGTCTCAAGGATCTTACCAGTGATTGACAGGAGTGACACTGGTCTGTAGTTGCTGATTTCTGCTCTGCTCTTCTTTTTGTGAACAGGGACTACATTTGCCTCTTTCCATGGAGAGGGCCATTTGCACTGTACTAGGCAGTGCTGAAAGATGCGAGTTAGAGGTGCTGCTAGCTGGTCTGCACATCTTCTCAACAATCTTGGGCTCAACTTGTCTGGGCCCATAGCCTTTTCTTGGTCAAGTGATTTAAGAAGGAAATGCACCTCCTCCTGCCTTACTGTCACACCTGACAGTTTTGACACAGTTCTTGCAGCTAGCCAAGGAGGGTCCCTTGCTGGATCAGGAACTTGCATTTTGGTAGCAAAGTGTTCAGCAAAGAGGTCCGCTTTCTCTTGACTACTAGTAGAGGTGGTCCCATCCTGTCGATTTAGAGGTGGAATAAGTTCATCAGGCAGATAACCTTGTCTGTCCTTGACCAGGGACCACCAGGTTTTGGAGCCTACCCTACCTGATGCTAGCTTTCTTTTAGTGTCCAACTCCCATTTAGCAATGGCCCACTTTTGAACATCACCCATATGCCTACAGGCTTGCATGTGCAAGTTCCTGTTATAGGTGGTAGGATGTCTCTTATACCTTCGCCATGCTTTGTACTTAGCAGTAGCAGCCTCTCTACAACGAAAGCCAAACCAAGGCTGATCTGTAGGCTTTGTCACATATTGCCGGTGAGGAATGTGTTCTTGTTGCAGATTAAGGATGTGTCCAGTGAAGGCTTTCACTTGGTTGTCAACATCCCCCTGGGAAGAGCATTCCAGTCGGTGGTGGCGAGCTCAGAGCAAAGGGCTGGCCAATTACCTCTTTCCCATAGCCAGGTTGTGCGTGTGGACTCCTCACCTCGTTCTGTTGGGATCTTAAGTGTGGTAAAAACAGCCTTGTGGTCAGACGATCCAACGTACCCGAGGGTTGACAAGTGACTATGCCTTCTGCCAGATCACTCACTACTGGGTCAAGGGAGGAGCCAGAGATATGAGTAGGGAAATCAACAAAGTTTCTCATGTCAAACACTGCAAGAAGGTCATCAAAGTCCCTCTGTATAAGGTGCTGGTTGAGGTCACCAACAATTATAATATGTTGACAGTTGTGTTGTAGCAGAAGGGAGTCAATATTTTCCATTAGGAAGTTGATAGGGTCTGCATGTTGCCACTGAGGTCTGTACATTGCACATGCTAGTACAGAGGTACTAGTGTTTATACAGAGCTTGAAGAACATCATTTCAAGATGTGTAGGGGTGGCAACATCTATGTGCTGGGCATGAACACTTTTAGAGAAGCACACAGCAACACCACCTCCTTGCCCTTGCCTGTCTCTTCTCATCCATGAGGTGTAGCCAGCAATTCTTGCAAAATTTTCTGGAGTCCTGTCATCCAAAAATGTTTCAACAACAGCTATCATGTCGGGACGTCGAGTGTTCACAAAGCTATGTGTGAGCTCTCCAACATTAGTAATGAAACCTCTAATGTTGGCCGACAGGATGCTGATAGACTGGCTCCTCATGATGAAGTGGTCAGCTTGAGGTGGTGGGTGTGTAGGGAATGTAAGGTGCCTGCCCTTGAGAGAGGTAGGGTACTGAGGCAGCTGCAGGGATGTAGGTCTGTGGTCTTGTATAAGGCCCAATCCCACCAATCTCTCTCTCTCTCTCTCTCTCTCTCTCTCTCTCTCTCTCTCTCTCTCTCTCTCTCTCTCTCTCTCTCTCTCCCTCTCTCTCTCTCTCTCTCTCTCTCCCTCTCTCTTTCTTTCTTTCTTTCTCTCTTTCTCTCTCTCTCTCTCTCTCTCTCTCTCTCTCTCTCTCTCTCTCTCCCCTCTCTCTCTCTCTCTCTCTCTCTCTCTCTTTTCTCTCTCTGTCTCTGTCTCTGTCTCTCTCTCTCTCTCTCTCTCTCTCTCTCTCTCTCTCTCTCTCTCTCTCTCTCTCTCTCTCTCTCTCTCTCTCTTTTGACACGCACACACACACACACACACACACACCTAGTAGCAATCAGTGAAGAGGCGGGGCCAGGAGATATGAATCGACCCCTGCAACCACAAATAGGTGAGTACAAATAGGTGAGTGTACACACACACACACACACACACACACACACACACACACACACACACACACACACATTAGGACCAGTGCTGTTTCTGGTATTTATGAACGACATGACGGAAACAATAGACTCCGTAGTGTCCCTGTTTACATATGACGTGAAGTTGATGAGAAGAATTCAATCGGACGAAGACCAGGCAGAACTACAGAGGGATGTAGACAGGCTGCAGACCTGGTCCAGAAACTGGCACCTGGAGTTCAACCCCACCAAGTGAAAAGTTATGAAGAGTGGGGAAGGGCTAAGAAGACCACACACGGAGTACAGTCTAGGGGGATCAGAGCCTACAAATCTCACTCAAGGAAAAGGATCTTGTTTTGAGTATAACACCGGGAACATCTACTGAGGCGCACGTCAACCATGTAACTACTGCAGCATTCCGTCGCCTGGCAAACCTAAGAACAACATTCCGACATCTAAATAAGGAGTCATTCACGGCTCTGTACACTGTGTACTTTAGGCCCATATTGGAATATGCAGGGCCAGTTTGGAACCCTCACCTAGCCAAGCATGTAAAGAAACTAGAGAAATTGCAAAGGTTTGCAACAAGACTAGTCCCGGAGCTAAGGGGTATGTCCTACCAGGAGAGGTTAAGGGAAATCGACCTGACGTCACTGGAAGACAGGAGAGTTAGGGGGGATATGATAACGATATATAAAATACTGAGAGGTATAGACAAAGTGGACTGAGACAGGATGTTCCAGAGATGGGACACAGGAACGAGGGGTCACAGTTGGAAGTTGAAGACTCAGATGAATCACAGGGACGTTAGGAAGTGGAATAGTCTGGGAAGTGATGTAGTGGAGGCAGGATCCATACATAGCTTTAAGAAAAGGTATGAAGATTACACACACACACACACACACACACACACACACACACACACACACACACACACACACACACACACACACACACACACACACACACACATATATATATATATATATATATATATATATATATATATATATATATATATTATATATATACTACTGACCACCGGCACACTAGACCACTACCACTACTGACCACCAGCACACTAGACCATTAACACTACTGACCACCGGCACACTAGACCACTACCACTACTGACCACCAGCACACTAGACCATTAACACTACTGACCACCAGCACACTAGACCACTACCACTACTGACCACCAGCACACTAGACCATTAACACTACTGACCACCGGCACACTAGACCACTACCACTACTGACCACCAGCACACTAGACCACTACCATTTCTGACCACCAGCTCACTAGACCACTACAAGTACTGACCACCAGCACACTAGACCACTACCATTTCTGACCACCAGCACATTAGACCACTACCACTACTGACCACCGGCACACTAGACCACTACCACTACTGATCACCAGCACACTAGACCACTACAAGCACTGATCACCAGCACACTAGACCACTACCATTTCTGACCACCAGCACACTAGACCACTACAAGTACTGACCACCAGCACACTAGACCACTACCATTTCTGACCACCAGCACACTAGACCACTACCACTACTGACCACCAGCACACTAGACCACTAACACTACTGACCACCAGCACACTAAACCACTACCACTACTGATCACCAGCACGCTAGACCACTACCACTACTGACCACCAGCACACTGGACCACTACCACCACAGACCACACTCACCTTATGCTTAATCCAGGACTCCCTGTTGTCCGCCTGGCCTAGTGTGTTGATGGAGGAGCTGGAGTGGGTCTTAAGGTCAGGGTCGCTGGTCCAGCGGTCACGGATATGACTGGAACACGACTTCTGAACGCTCTCTATCAGCTCACAGCAGACGTGACGCCCTGTGTAGCGCGCCCACTCTACAGCGCACAACCCACGCCCGAAGTCCCGTAGATGTGGCGAGGCTCCTGTGGGCGGCCAAGAAATAAGTGATTGACCGGGTTACGGAAGTATGAGAATTGAGACACTCTGGTCATGCTAGGCACGTCTCACTCGACCACAAGCACTCGTGGAATTATTAAAGTTCCTTGAAGATCTTCCGCTATGGTATGAAAGGTCTTGGTCTTGAGCAAGAAGATCAAAGGTCATTGGTGATGGCCAAGGATGATAAAAAAAAACAGCAAAGCAGTGGATATTTAGTTCTGCTCGTGAATTTCGCAAAAATGGGAGTGGGTGTAATAACATTGTAAATAATGCGTTTTAATGCTCTGATAACAAGAGAATATAAGATAAAGGGAACTTCAAATGGTTTATTGGGCTCCATCATGTAGATTCAACTCCCCTCCTGATCATACACATCTGCAAATCCAAGTCACCACAACTAACTGATTAAACATCTATGCTAGCCCAAGTCACCACAACTAACTGATTAAACATCTATGCTAGCCCAAGTCACCACAACTAACTGATTAAACATCTATGCTAGCCCAAGTCACCACAACTAACTAATTAAACATCTATGCTAACCCAAGTCACCACAACTAACTAATTAAACATCTATGCTAGCCCAAGTCACCACAACTAACTGATTAAACATCTATGCTAACCCAAGTCACCACAACTAACTGATTAAACATCTATGCTAACCCAAGTCACCACAACTAACTGATTAAACATCTATGCTAACCCAAGTCACCACAACTAACTGATTAAACATGTCTGCTAATCGTCACAGCAAAGTTTTATGGCACTTAATTCCAGCAACACACATCGTTGTTGATCAATAATTCAACTATGTGAGTCATTCCAGTAACAGTATACAATACCCACATGTTAATTAATAAGACACATGTACAACAAATACATATCTTCATTGCCAAAACTTTTCGAAAACGAAGATACATAGGTGTTGCATACGTGTCTTACTTATAAATTAGATGAGTTTTGGTCGTTGTGCAATTTGAGAGAGGTATCCCCGTTTCCCCACAAGCCCAACCCTTTCTACCTCAATATACAAATAAAGGAGTAGTGCAAAGTGCACCAAAAGCTTCTAACGCAGGAAAAAAATCATTGACCGGATGAAAACTATCAGAAAATAGGAACTAATTATCACATGGACGCTCATAAGCAAAAGCCTTTATAAAAAAAAAAAAAACTAAGACACATCAGGTCTGGAAGTTGACAGGCCATCAGAATTATAATTATTATCAAAAAGAAGCGCTAAACCACAAGGGCTATACAGCAGGCCATCAGAAGAAGCATCTCTCTTGTCATTCAGAGATCTATATCCTAAATGGATCGGAGACTGCTGCACACGTTAGTGCTTACATCAGCTTAGAAAATTCGAAGATATTCTGATGAGGCGTTAAGTTATTATTATTATTATTATTATTATTATTATTATTATTATTATTATTATTATTATTATTATTATTATTATTATTATTATTATTATTATTATTATTATTATTATCGAAACAAAGCGCTCTCAAGTAATAAATGAAAATCTTGGAGGAAGAAAAAAACGGATAAACTACTTAAAGCTATTCCCTTCGGGGATACCAAAATATATTCGAACTAGAAAATAACGCTATCCCACAAACCCTTCCAAAAATCGATTGAAGAAAATCGTCTTCTTTCCGAAAATAGCTAACAAACAGATAAGTAATCCAGCTCCTGTGGGTGATGTTCCTTACCAGCGAAGAGAAGAATCTTAGCGATCTTGGTCCTGCCCTGCAGCGCCGCCTTCATGAGCGGGGTGAAGCCGAGGGTGTTCCTTGCGTCCAGGTCGACGCTCCTGTTGCACTTGTTGACCAGATGTGACACCACCTCCGTGTGACCTGCAGCCAAACAAATGAGCACCTCACTTTCTGGCATCTCTTACTTAATAAGCCTTTAAACACCCGTAGCCTGGTGATATAATATTTTTTACAGTTGTTTTATAAAGGCACCAGCAATGTGCTGCAACGCTACGTTATTTATTAATTACAAAGAGCACGAATGTTGGTTAGATTTTCCTAATGCATTCCATCACACACGATAAACTTGAAGTAACGTAATGTGTCAACATGAGAAGTTTTAAGTTTAATATGTTTATTATGCACCCCATACCCATCCAGTGGGCGGTAGTCAAAAGATTACAGAGGTACATAATGGGTCCAGGGACTGGGCCTCAAAGTTTACATGAGAGTGGAGACTTCTGTAGGATGAGTAGTCAGTAAAATTCAGTGGCGCCCCAATTGTGTTACCGAGTCAACCCTGGATCACCAACCTCACTCATAAAGCAGCATTTTGTTGGATAATCCTTATGATTCTTTTACAGTGTGGTTCGGTACATCAGACTGGAAAGCCCAGGACCCAAAACCATCAGTTCGAATCCCGTTCATTACATTATTTATATATATCAATAACAACACTGCGACTAGCAGGGGACTCGAACCCGTGTTGCTTTAGCCCGCCTCATGGTGGGCGAAAATTCATGACGCTCTAACCCACACGACCATCCAGTCCTACAAAGATCACGCACCCAGCAGAGCTAGGTGTTGTACCGTGATCCGAGGACACACAGTGGTGTGGGTGCTTCAGATTATTATTATAATAAAAAAAACACTGAACCTGTGGGTGCAGTATAGTATTGCAGTATAGTATTGCAATAATACTGTATATTGCACAATACTTAATATATTGCTTGTAGAATGAAATTAGCTCTGAGGCAGCCACACCATCGTATGTTCTCGGATCACGGTACAACACCTAGCTCTGCTGGGTGTGTGATCTTTGTAGGATTGGATGGTCCAGTGGGTTTGAGAGTCGTGAATTTTCGCTCACCATGAGGCAGCCTAAAACACCACATGTTCGAGCCCCCGGCTAGTCGCTGAGTAGTTATTGATTAAATACCACTCGTTCGTGGTAACAATGCTAGCTCCAGACACATATAAAACACTCCAGGTACATATAAACTATCTCCAGGTACATATAAACTACCTCCAGGTACATATAAACTATCTCCAGGCACATATTAGCTACCTCCAGGTACATATAAACTACCTCCAGGCACATATTAGCTACCTCCAGGCACATATTAGCTACCTCCAGGCACATATTAGCTACCTCCAGGTATATATAAACTACCTCCAGGCACATATAAACTACCTCCAGGCACATATTAGCTACCTCCAGGCAAATATTAGCTACCTCCAGGTACATATAAACTACCTCCAGGTACATATAAACTACCTCCAGGTACATATAAACTACCTCCAAGCACATATTAGCTACCTCCAGGCAAATATTAGCTACCTCCAGGTACATATAAACTACCTCCAGGTACATATAAACTACCTCCAGGCACCTATTAGCTACCTCCAGGCAAATATTAGCTACCTCCAGGTACATATAAACTACCTCCAGGTATATATAAATCTTCCACTTACGCATTCATTACTTCCAGGTGTATGTTAACTTAAATATTCGAGGCTCATAAAGAGCACATATTGAGAGCCGGATGGACTGCAGGACTCACTGAGTCAGTCAATACCAGAGTACCTGACTCACCAGGTGTCTGTTACTTGCACCACACACACACAAACACACACACACACACACACACACACACACACACACACACACACACACACACACACACACACACACACACACACACACACACAGCATTGTGGGGGTCAGCTCAGTAATTACGGAATGAGTTGAATCTGGGAAATATGGCCGTTGTATTCATTACTGCAGTAAAATATAGCGCGTGGAAGCGAGGAAAAATTCATTCAAGCTGCGAGTCTATATCATCATTGATTGGTAGAGTGTGACGTGCTCTTCTGGTCGCTCGCACTTCAACTTCAGAGAATGCACAGGGAATGTTGCAGAGCATTGTGTGCCACCGCTCGCCTACCTTTCAGTGGTCGCTCTGTCATATGCCATCAAGTTTTGAGTGGGTGCGGTGGCTTTTGCTTTTATAGCACTGCAACCAACACCACACAACCTAGGAGTTCCACTACTCTAGCAGGACTAACGATGCGGACGAATGCTTGCAGACGAACCATAGCAACGTTAGGAAATATTTTTTCCCCCGTCAGAGGGCGTTGAGCAGCAGGAACTAAATAAATGACGACGGTATTGGATTTCTCCTCTTCCAGTATGTACTATATTCATATTGTCTTTCAGCCTTTTTTCACCTTCCCTCCTTTCTTGCATTTCTCTTCTCACATTCCCTGATTCCATGGTGGTACATTGTCAGGTTCCACTGATGAACCCATAGTGATACACTGTCAGGTTCCAGAGATAAACACATGGGTTCCAGCTTTTGGGCCCATACCTTGACTTTTAATTGACTGACATGACTTAGGACTGTTGATGTTCCAATATTTATTTGGAGATGTGGCGTGCGTCGAGTATGTTACAATTTATTCAACGTTCATCACACATCCATTCGTGTATACCCTCTACACCAACCAAACTAGAAGTCAGGTTGGAGTAGTTTGCATGTGGGACCCCGACTACTCTGATTCGCTCTTACCCAACCAGTTGGGTAAGAACTTGCCCCAGGCCTAACTGATGTTATGTTTCCACACCTGGCTGGAGGCAGACGCTCACTAATGCTTGTCGAGTATACTTCTACAATACTGGCTTTCTTGAGGTGTACAACCATCAGTAGTGAGTGACTCTTACTGCACATTGTACATGATGCAAATATATGGTGGAGGGAATATACGGGTACTAAAGTCTACACCTTTCGTGTTTGACTTTTTTTTTATTTACTTGAAGATTGTTCCTTGTCAGAAGACTTAATTTATGCCAGATATAACAGGCCTTTCTTCCTGTGCCTTTTTTCATGTTCAGGTTTCCAGCGCCGTCCACTTAACTGGTAATCTGACACACGCCAGGAGGAGGGTGGGGTGGGTATTTTGTTTAAGTGGTCTTTGGAAAAGAGGTGGTGCATGATTCAAACTTTTGAACCCACCTTTTTTTCTGTTGCTTCCTCTCTGGGACGATGGAGATATCCTCAGAAAAGTCTCCTTTCTCATGTGTATGGGATAGCCCATCCTGAGAGAAGGGACTTCCCATGTAACAGCTCCTCTAGTTCTGTTGAAACGAAACCTTTTTCAGCTCTTGTAGCTGAAGAAGCCGTAATGGAATACCTGACTATACCCTCACCGCTCTACTGAAATCTAAAAACTCAGGCTGACAGATTTCAACGCGATGTATGTAATTCATCTTACTACTTGATGCAATATGATGGGGAAACATAGCCAGCTTTTGTTTCCATCGTGTAATTGTTGTATGGAACAGGATGGCAGCAAACTGGTACTGTTTACAATATTTGCTTTAAAACTGGACATGCCTTGTTCATCTGAGTGTTCAGCTTTGGTTTATGTTCTTGTGTTGTGGTGCCTTCCACGCCAGAAAGTCAGGACTTGTTTACCAAAGGGTGATCACGTCACCCATGACTCCAGCAGTGCAGTGAGGTGCAGCTCCTTGACTACGTAGCCCTGGATACAGTCAGTGCCGGGAGGCGTAGCTCCTTGACTTCGTCACCCTTGACTATGTCACCCTTAATTCCAGCAGTACAAAGAGGTGTGGCTCTTTGATTCCGTCAAGGGCAAGGTATAAAGTCTCTGAATATTCTGAATCTTCCTGTAATGCATAATTAGGTACGGGCTCCACTCTAGTGCTTTATACTCGAGTAATATCCATATATTCAGTATGCAGTATTTTTTTTTTACTAGAAACTCAACATTACTTGTATTTTAGGGTCTGATTCTTTTAACAAAATTCTCAAACGTCCTGTGAGACCTGGTCGTAATTGGAGCTGGAGCAAACAAACTCAGCAGTAGACTATAATGTATATTTTGCCTTCACCCACTATATACCAATATGTACACTTTGTACAGGTGGAATAATAATAAGTGTACACGACGGTGACAGATGACAACGCAAAGCCAGAGTGCACCGTACTCAACCAGCAGGTAGGCAAGTCTGCCAATGCTTACTGCAAGTGAACCACGTTGCTTCAGCTTTGGCGGGCTTGCCTGTGATTGGTCAATGAACCAAGGTATTGATTTAACGTCGGGTACCCTATTGATGGTTAAACCCTTAGCACTCGGTTCTCTGGTTGGGAGGCAGCCTATATGGGAGTGTGACATACGCCGAATAAATTGTAACATACTCTTTGCATGCCACACCTAATATATTCATTTTTTTTAACTGAGTTGTTTACCTTCAGTGCCACCTCGTTTAGCACTTTTTTCTAATTTCGCTATATTCAGAGTTAATACGTCAAGTTTATTCTCGTATATGATGATCTTAGTCTTTTATATATTTATTCGTATGAGTTTGCCTCTCTTTTTCAAAGTTTATTCTCAGTTCTTTCAGTGTCGTTCTTAGATTATCTGCGCATTTTTCTGAAATACTTTCTGACAAGAGAATGTAACTCGATTACTTTGTAAAATTGAAAGAATTATTTTCCACGCTACTTCTTTCCGCACTTTAATTATTGGCAGTGTATATAAATTCTTCTGTTTATATCATTACTTCCTTGGACTGGTCTGGTCTTATTAATACGTCACCGTACCTTTGCAGTTGTTTTAAATTTTTAACTCTCCCTTATGTTTAATCTGTATGTAAATTACACATAATAGCCTGCCCTTCATGTCAGATATTTAATGATCCATTTGTGTCCTCTGTGTTCCTTGGTGTTGGAAATTTCTAAGCATTTTATAATCTCGCTAATATGGCGTGTATACTTATTATGTCTGTTTGCTGTTTAAGACTTTTTTTCTATCCACCGAAAAAAAAATAACCCTTTTGGAGATAAATGGTTCATAGA